CAACGAGTTTGTAGTTGTGGTATAAATGAAGGGATTGAGATATCACAAATTAAACATACTTACTTTTCATGCCATTTGATAAATTCCGAATCTATCCAGATCTTGGAAATGTGGGAAATCTTGGACCATTCCTCTCCTGCATATTGTTTGCCATCTATATATTTTATGCATCTCTTCTTTAAATTAGGACATTCTCTAATGTACAGATATTGAAGAGAAGAGAGGTTTCCCAACCAGTCTGGTAAAACTTCCACTCTGTTGAATTTTTCTAGAGCCAATGACTCGAGGGCAGTGAGATGCTGAAGCTGATCTGGCAGAAACTTTATTTTATCCCATCCTATCAATTTTAAATCTTTCAGGGAAGCACGAAGGCAAAGGATGCAATCGAGTCCTGGGAACTCCTCCAAATCTGAGCTGAAAGGACCCGTCCTTAACTCAATAAGGGATTTTAGGGCTTCGAGTGGAAACAAATGCTTTAGATTGCTGCATTCAAAAATGTGAAGTCGTTGAAGAGAAGTAAGGTTTCCCAACCCCTCTGGAAAAGCTTCCACTCCATCGAAATTTAAAAGAGTCAATTCTTTCAAGGCAGTGAGATGTTGCAGTTGATCTGGCAAAGACTTGACTCTATCCCATCCACATAATATTAAAGATTCAAGGGAGGAGTTCAGCTGATGGATGTAACTGAGTCCGGGGAATTCCTCCAATTCATCACAGAAATAACCCATCTCTAACTTCTTTAAGCTAGTGAGGCAGCGCAGGCACTCCTCCGGAATGCTCCGTATATTAAAGCATTTTTCAATACTCAAAAACTGAAGAGATGAAAGCCCGTTCATACTTGGGATAGCCATCAGTTTGCAACATCCACTAATCTCCAAATGAGATAGCTTATGATGAGATGAAAATCCACCCATCTGCCAAATTTCCAACCGAGGACAATGGCCAATCACCAAATTCTCAAGGCAAGGAAACACAATCTCAACTTTGCCCCCTGCTGCTAAATCATCGTCTACTTCAATCCATTCCTCTAAGCTTTCCAGGCCGACTAATCGGAGTTCTCTCAAAGCTGGGAATAGTTTGATTGGTTCTACTCCTCCTGGACCATTACTTTTGGTGGTATCAAACTTATGACCCATTCTTTTTACATTTTCAAAAATAAAAATATAAAGAAACTCGAGACTAGGTAAAAGTCCCAGACTAGGAATATGTTCACAATTATGCCAACCATCTAATTCCAACTCCACCAGATTATTGGACAAAAATATAGCACCACCACTCATCATCCATGGCGGAAAGCCCTTTCCCATGTAACCCTCAATGCATAAACCCTTTAGATTTGTGTGAGGCTGAAGACCTTCTAGAACCTCCTCCTCATTGGCGATGTATCTTTCCCCAAAATTACGCCACTCCAGTTTCAACCAGCATATTCCTGTCTTTTCCTTTAGATTTGCTTTACTGGCTTCCAATCTCGAACAAACATGTTCAAGATCCTTAATCTCCAATCTTCCTCTGAGTTCGGTTAAGCCTCCCAGTTCTTCAATGCCACCCCCCTCTCCCATGTCTACAAAAAAAATAGGTAATGTTCGAAGGGAAGTTAGGTGCCCAATGCTCCTCAGCATAGGCAAGCAATCACCGTGAAAACAAATGTGCCTCAAGCTGACCAAACTGGTTATCTTATCATGTGGCCACTCCAGACCATAACAACTATGTCGTCTGAAAGTTTGCAAATTATAGAGCTTGCAAAAAGACTCTGGTAGTACATAACCTCTTCTGTTTGAGATATCAAAGTACCTCAAATGCTTCAGTTCTCCAAGAGCAGGGTCCAACTTCTTTATGTCAACATCTCTAAAAATAGGGAACTCGACTCCTGCTAATTTCAAAGACCACAAACTTTTGAGATTAGATGCCATGGCATTGAAAACAACACCCACCTTCTCTTCTATGAACAAAGAACGCAGCCTTCGAAGAATATTAGCTGGAATGTCTGAAGGCTCACTTGCATCATGCCTAACTCTCAAATGTAAAATACTAGCACTTTCATCAATCTTGCAACCAGTCTTCAGTATGAAAGTTTCATCTTTTGAAACAGCCAATGCTAGATCATGCACCATATCATGCATCTTGCAAGATATGATATCTCCATATTTATTCCTTCTCACATCTTGAAATAAGGAATTTCATAGCAAATAGTTGAAGTAGGCATCACCAATTTCTTCCATCATCCTGGAGCACTCATTAGGTTGGTGAAGATATCCTTGAGCCATCCAAAGTTGAACTAAATCATCCTTTTCAATGATGAAATCCTTTGGAAATATTGAACAATAGGAGAAGCATTTCTTCAAAGGTGGAGGCAAACGATCAAAACTTATTTTTAGTATAGATAAAATCCCGTTCCCATCTTCTAAATTTGAATTCCATGCATCATTATCTCTGATAGCTTTCCACTCACTTGTTTGACTCCCACGGCTCAATGTTCCTCCAATAATAGAAGCAGCCAATGGCAAGCCCCCACACTTCTTGGCAATTTCCACCCCAATATTTTTCAACTCCGAGGAAATTGAAGTTCGTTTGGATGAAGTGAGAATTGTCTCTTCAATTATTGACCAGCATTCATCATCTGATAACTTATGCATGTTATAAATTTGCATAGAATTTTGCATAAGATTCGTCTTCATCATCATAGATGCTACGTCTTCATCACGAGTTGTCACCAAAATAGAATTCCTAGTTATCTTCAGAATTCTTGAGAGACGATTGCTGAAAGCATTCCACCTCGATTCATCTTTATTCCACACGTCATCAAGAACGAGAAGAAAAGTCTTCTTCTCTAACTCCTTGGCAAGACCTTCAACCAGTACATTGATGCTGCTTGGAGGGACACCACCCTTAAAATGTTCATGCATCTCTCTCAAAATTGTTTCCTCATTCAAGTCTTCAGAGACACACACCCAGGCTACAAGATCATAGCGCTTTTCTTCCTTTGCCTTCTTGTATATTGATCTTGCTACTGTTGTCTTTCCAAGGCCCCCCATGCCAACTATTGAAACGCCAGACACTAGATACTGTTTCTCCCTCAAGTCATCCAGGATGCCAAGAATTCTCTCAATATCATCTCCCCTTCCAAAAACTTTTGAATCACCGAGCAGAGAGTCTGTCTTGGGTAATTGCATGGCTGTTGGATGAAATTCACGTGACTCCAGATTAAGTACACGTGCGCGCTCCTTTAATTCATCAAAGCGCATATTAATATCTTTTATTTTGTCAACAATATCAGAAGTGAATGAACTCCTTTTCCTCTT